CCTGCTCACTCCCAACTTTTTTGAATGCATTCCTTGTATAAATTTGGGATTACTAAGACAAAAATAGCCTTCCCCCAAACTGCCAAGTATTTATAATAATGTTTAAGAGAGATTAATTATCCAAGGCTGACCCTGAGGAACAACTAAGGCAGGTGATGATTAAAATACTTGCACTCAATCAGCTGGAACTTTGATCTTCTAGTCTCCAGAACTGTGAGAAAATAAATTTCTGTTGTTAAACCACCCAAGTCTATCGTATATTGTTATGGCAGCCTGACAAGACTAAAAGAGATATTATTTTTTTAAGAATGGCATATTTTTATTTATTATAGAAGCAATATGTTTAAACAGAAGCTTGTGTATGAATGTTCATAGCAGCACTATTCACTGTTCACTATAGCACTATATCACTATAGATAAAGGTGGAAACAACTCAAATGTCCATCAACTGTTGAAGGGATAGACAAAATGTGATATATCCATACAGTAGAATATTAGCCGTAAAAAGAGTGAAGTATTGATAATGCTATAACATGGTTGAACCTTAAAAACATGCTAAGTGAAAGAAGCTAGATACAAAGGGCCATATATGATTCCATTTATATGAAATATCCAAAATAGGCAAATCCACAGAAACAGAAAGCAGATTAATGGTTGTCAGGGGCTGAGGAGTTGGGAGAATGGGAGTGACTGTTTTTTTTATGGTTAGATCGGGGCTGTGGGGTTTTGAGAGGAAGATCACAGAGGTAATATGCCATTTTTATTACATCATATCAAGAATATGTACTGTCAACATGATTTACGACTGTTGATGTAGACCTTGATGTCGATGATTATGATGTTGGTGTTGACCTGGCTGACGCAGTGTGTGTCAGGTTGTTCAGGTGTGTAAAGTTCAGGTGTGTAAGTTATTCCCCCCAACTTTCTCTACTCTTCGGAAGTACTCTGGGCAGCCATGCAGGGAGAAGAGAGTTATGCTCCCCCTGAATATAAATATTTTTAAGGCTTTTGGTACAAATTGTGAAATTATTCTCCTGAAATATTTTACCAGTTTACATTCTCAGCAGCAGTGTGAATATGTGTCTACTTTACTGAAAATTTGCCGACATTGGTATTACCCTTTTAAAAAAAATCTGCTGATCTTAAAGAGGAAAAATGGCATCTCATTTTAATTTGCATTTATGAGTTTATTAGAAAGTTGGTATATTTTTAAAATTATGTATTTTGTTGGTCATTTGTATATTTTCTTTCAGGGATTACTTGTACATCCTTTGTTCATTTTAAAAAAATGAGGTGTTTACCTTTGTTTTATTAATTTTTAAGATATTAACATTTTGACTGGTCTTATAAGTTGTCATATTGCCATTGGGTTTTTTTTTTTAAGTTTTCTTTTTGCCTTTTAATTTTGTTTATGGTATTTTGGGGGGTACAGAAGTTTTCATTTTACATGATCAACTCTATCAGCCTTTTTCTTTGTAGTTTCTATCTGTGTCGTCATGTTTAGAAATGCTAAATTTACACTTTGTAAAATACCTGGACAAATTTATATTCAGGAAATTATTATTATTGTTGTTATTATTATTAGGAAGTTATTATTTTTAAAGTTGAGACCCCGTGAAATGGGAGGACATGGCTTGACTAGATTGAGCTTTGTCTCAGAAACAGCTAACAGTGGACACATTTCAAGATGGATGACTGTAACTTATAGCCTCTTGTAGGGATTTCTGGGACTGGTTTTAAAGTTTTAAAGAACTCTCAAAATGGAAGTGAACTGGCTGACGTATGATACTAAGTTCTTTGGGGTCACAAAATGACAAACCAGTGAGATGACTTGAAAATGTGTATGTAAGCACTTAGTGAGAGATGAGCTTTGAAGTTTATGAGGATAACAAGTGTGATTATTGAGTAAGAAGACTAATTTGATCACCATCCTTCAGTAATTTACATACCTAAATAAGTCGTCAGAAGTGGGGGAATGGGGGACTTGGGGTCGTAGAGTGCTGGGGTAGCCATAAACATATATTCTAAAAAGTAGCTATTTCCCCAAAATATTTTTTTTTTTTTTTTTTTTTTTTTCTTGCGTTATGCGGGCCTCTCACTGTTGTGGCCTCTCCCATTTGCGGAGCACAGGCTCCGGACGCGCAGGCTCAGTGGCCATGGCTCACGGGCCCAGCCGCTCCGCGGCATGTGGGATCTTCCCGAAACGGGGCACGAACCCGCGTCTCCTGCATCGGCAGGCGGACTCTCAAGCACTGCGCCACCAGGGAAGCCCTCCCCAAAATATTTTTGAAACAATCTTGTTTAGAAATTTCTTCTGGTCAATTTCAGTTATGAAATAAAATTAATCTAATGACCGTTAGTATTACCTTACAAGGTAAAATAGTAAATGGAAATAAACCAGAGAATACTGCAGCAGACTGGGATGTGACAGGTCAATGGATGTGCTTTTCTCTTTACTTATATGCATCAGATTTCTTCAGCATCTCAAGGCCTTATCTGGAGGGTCCTGACAGAAGAGCTACTTGTGCCCCCTCCCTGGACCACAGCCTGAGGCTGGGGAGAGAGCAAGCCAGCAAGCCTTGGGGAGAAGTGCCTCAGGTCATCTTGATGTGGCGAGTAGGAATGATGGTGTGGCATGTCTAGGTACAAGAGGATAGAAGACTTGCCAGACCCAGTGTCCCATGGGTCAGAGTGGCATAAGAGGACACCCACAATGTCCTGAAGGTTTCTGTGTAGAGAAAATTTAGCTGAGAAAGAGAGAGAGCCAGGGGCTTGGCCCAGGATGAAGTATGAAAACCAGGTGAGGACGGAGCTGCCCTCTTAATGGATAGAATTAATGGGAACACCCTTGTGTCCTGCAGACCCCCCAAGGGAGCATGTGTCATCTGTTATACCCAGAACCAAGATAGCACAGATTAAGACCAAGAAGTGGGCTCCTAGGATAAGCCCTTGAGAGCTGAGATCAGTTCCAGGGAAGAGGAGAGGGCAGGGAGGATAAAAGAGAGGACGTTTTCAACCTAATTGTGACTGAATTATAAACTTGAATTGACTAAGAAATGACTGAATTCAGATGAATTTATCTGAGAGTAACTAGATTAAATTTTCTCAATTATAAATTGAAACTACACTCAATTATAGGAGAATAGAGAAAATTACGTTTTTGCACCCTTGAGTCAGTAACTGTGAAATTTGTACTGGCTCCAATACTTACAGGCAGCCAGGTATCAGTAAATTCTCAAGAACAGACCATGGGATCATTATGGGCTGCTCTTCCAAGTTATCACTTACCTGTGGCTGCAGTGCAAAAAGTCAACACAATGTCTTATCATCAGAAATCATGACAAAATATATTCAAATTTCTGTTCAAAATGTTCTCTTTATATTAGAAAGCAGAGCTAATGCTTGTTGGTGGGACGAGAACATGTTTTGAAGTTCTGAAGCGGTTCCGTCCAGATTATAAGCCTATGACTCTAAAAGGGGGAAGTATGAAATTGCAGGTTGTTCTGAATATCTTCTGTTTGCCCCTTCTAGGCCCACTGCCAAGCCTTGGTACCCTGGGGGGTGGGCGGGGCCCTAGGGCTCCCACCTTTGAGAGGCATTGGCAGGAACTTGGAGGGAGGGAGAAGAATGAGCCAGGGTATTGGTTCCCCATCTCTCTTTGGGAGAGTATCTTTGGCTTCCCAGGCTTCTTCCTTGCCATGAAGTGAAGGGCCAGGCCCCATTAACGATTCCTCCTCCTCTGCCATTGCTGCTGGAGCATAAGAGGTAGGTTAAGGGTCATAGCTAATGGCCTCTGGCCCTTTAAATCTGGTATCCATGGCACCACAGGCAGTGTCATTATTGTGTATTTGCTGCCTGTAGAGAAGCAGGCTAGTACACTTAAAGGAGGACTCCACCCCAGGGAGGCAAGTCAAAGCCTGCCGCCACCACCCAGGATTTCTCTAGCTGGAATCTGCATACGGGCCCAAGGGAGCCCATTATGAATACACCTATTTCCATACACTCCCAGCCAACACTCTAAACAATTTGTGCTCTTGCTGAGGAAGACCCATGAGAAATTGAAAAAAATTTTTTCTGGATGACATTAAGAAGACCGTGACATGATTTGGGTAAGTTTCATCATAAAATGAATCTTGTGCCCGCCTAGGCCTCTGGTGAAGTCTCATTTCTGCTAAGGCACAGGTGAGCATGCTGGACAAAGCATACTATTATTTTGGACAAATTAACATGGGTTTCAGTAACTGGACATATACTGTGAGGCAATTTAGGTATGTTTTACATAAATGCATCCTTTCCTACCTAATAGCATCAAAAAGTCAGAAAGTCAGTTCAGCGCTTAAAAACCTGAATAAATTAAAAATGCTTCACAATCCACCTTTTATTTTTTTCCTTTTTACAATTGATAAGCCAATATTGATACATTATTTTTAACTAAAGTCCATAGTTTACATTAGAGTTCATTCTTTGTGTTGTACAGACTATGAGTTTTGACAAGTGCATAATGTTGTGTATTCATCATTATAATATCGTAAAAAATAATTCCACTGCCTTTAAAAATCCCTATGCTGCATATATTTGTCCTTTCCTCCCTCCCTCCCCAGCCCCTGGCAACCAATGATCTTTTTACTGTCTCCAGTTTTGCCTTTTCCAGAATGTCATATGGTTGGAATCATACAGTATTGTAGATTTTTCAGACTGGCTTCTTTCACTTAACCATATATATTTAAGATTCCCCCCAAGTCTTTTCATGGCTTGATAGCTCATTACATTTTATTGCTGAATAATATTCCACTGTATAGATGTACCACAATTTGTTTATCCATTCGCTTATTTCAATTTATTGAAAATTGTGTCCAATTTTTTTGTAACTATGAATAAAGCTGCTATACACATTTATGTGCATGTTTTGTGCGGACATAATGTTTTCAAATCACTTGGGTAAGCACCTAGGAATGAGATTGCTGGATCATGTGGTAAGACTATACTTAGCTTTGTAAGAAACTGCTAAACTGTGTTTCACAGTGGCTGTACCATTCTTTCAATCCTACCGGCAATGAATGAATGAGAGTTCCGGTTGTTCCAAATTCTTGCCAGAATTTGGTACTGTCATTGTTTAGGGTTTTAGCATTCTAATAGGTTTGTAGTGATATCTCATTTTAATTTACACTTCCCTAATAGATTACAATGTTGAGCATCTTTTCATGTACTTGCTTGCCATCTGTATATATATTTTCTGTGGTCAAGGCTATTCAGATATTTTGCCCATTTTTCTAGTTGGGTTGATTTCTTATTGGTGTGTTTTAGGAGTTCTTGTATATTTTGGGTACAAGTCCTTCATCAGATATGTGTTTTGCAAAAATTTTCTCCCTGTCTATGGATGCCTTTTCATTCTCTTAACAGGGTCTTTTGCATAGCAGAAGGTTTTAATTCTAATAAGGTCCAATTTGTTAATTTTTTCTTCCATGAATTGTGTGTATTTGATGTTGTATGTAAAAAGTTATGACCAAATGCAAGTCACCTAGATTTTCTCCTATGTTATTATCTTCTAGAAGTTTTACAGTTTTGCATTTTACATTTATGTCTATGATCTATATGGAGTTAATTTTTTGTTTAAGGTGTAAGATCTGTGTCTAGATTAATTTTTTTGCATGTGGATGTCCAGTTGTTCCAGCACAATTTGTTTTAAACACTATCCTTTTTACATTGAATTGCCTTTGTTCCTTTTTCAATGATTGGTTGACTCTATTTGTGTGGGTATATTTTTGGGCTCTCTATTCTGTTTCATTTATCTATTTGTCTTTTCTTTTGCCAATACCGCTTTGTCTTGATTACTACAGTGTTATGGTTAAGTCTTTACATTGAGTCTTGTCAGTCCTGTGACTTTGTTCTTCTTCAATATTGGGTTGATTATTCTGGGCCTTTTGCCTTTTGATATAAGCTTTAGAATCAGTTTGTTCTTATCCACAAGATAATTTACTGGGATTTTGATTGGAAATGCATTGAATGTATAGATCAAGTTGGGAAGAACTGACATCTTAATAATATTGAGTCTTCCTATCCATGAACATGGAATACCTCTATATTTATTTAGATCTTCTTTCTTTCATCAGAATTTTCTAGTTTTCCTCATACAGATTTTTTTTTTGGTACTAGTGTTTATGGTGGTGTGTTTCTAATTTTGACTCCATTTTTTCATTGTTAATATATAGGAAAGCAACTGACTTTTATATGTAGGTCCATCTTTTAAATGTCTTCTTTGCCCCTTTCTCTCTTTGCTTCTTTCTGTCTCTTGAAAGAGAGGATGGAACTCAGGATTTGGAGAAAGATATTAAACATTTCTAAATTAGTAGACTTCAATTTTGAAGAGCAGTTTTAAGTTCATAGAAAATTGAGCATACAGTGTAGAGAATTCCTATAAGCCTCTCAAGCCCCTCACAGTTTCTGCTCACATCTTGCATTAGTGTGATACATTTGTTATGACTTTAATTTTTAAAATTTAATACAGAAAGTAGGTATTGAGTGCTTTTAGGCAAAAGGAAATAATTCCTGCCCTCATGGAATCTACAAACCTCACTGGGAAGGCTGAACAAAATGCCTCCATATGAGCAACTAATACAAAATAGTTTATAGTTGGGTTTTAATATGTGTCCTTCCTTAAGTGAAAGGGAGAAATTAGGAGTAGTAGTTTGGAGCAGATAGGGAGCCAGCTCTCCAAGGAAGAGGTGAGATGTAGGAAGGCTCTGGAAGGGTAGCAGGATTTGGAAAGATAGAGATTGACTGGATGCAAAGTGTAAGCAGAAGAAATGGCATGCACAAGGATGCAGAGGGCAGTCTGGAAGGGGTGGGCTTTATCACGCTTGGCAGAGGTGGGAAATGACCTTGAAGAATGTCAGTGTGTATGGACACCAAGGGGGGGAAGTGGTGGGGGGTGGTGGTAGTGGTGGTGGTGGGATGAATTGGGAGATTGGGATTGACATATATACACTAATATGTATAAAATAGATAACTAATAAGACCCTGCTGTATGAAAAATAAATAAAATACAATTCAAAAATTCAAAAAAAGAATGTCAGTGTGAGCAATTGGAACCTGATAAAATGCTTAGAGTTGAGTTTCTAAGCAGATCTTTGGGGTCTGGTTCTCTTAGGATCCTTGGGTTTTGGTTTCACATATACCTCAAGGCAGATATTCTGAACCCTTTGCTTCTTTGAATCAGAGTTACAGGCTCATGCCGGGGAGTGTTTCTAAGGAGAAGCACTGCCCTTCTGGGGAAAAGCTACCAAATGGGTCTGTACCTTTTTCATTTGCTACAAGAGTAGAATTTCATGTACACATATCAGGAAAAAGTAACTTGCTTGGGAGGTCCAAAATAGTGACACAGACCCCCAGGGAAGTTGCCCTGAGTGTCCCAGTTCCCTCACTGCCTGGCTGCATTGAACTCACTCTCTTTGAAGGGCTCTGTCATTTCTGGCGGGCAGGAGAACCCTGTGGAGTCTCTGAGGAGGGGGGGAAAGCAAGGAGGGAAATGTATGAATCCCATAGCTTTAATCTCCTCTTACTACTAAGGGAAGAGCAAAGAGGGCATTAAATGCCCTATTTTTTTTTTTCTTGGTCTCAATTAACTTATCTCAAGATGCCTCTCTAGAGTTATACGTAATTGTTTATTTAGGTCACCAATAATGACCCTGCAGGGATTCAAAAAAGTTTTTATAGCGAAAGTACACATTCACATTAGAATTTTAATTACTGCCTTCTCCATATAGCCTTCCTTCATAATATCTCTCTGCATCCAGCTCATTTTTTCCCCCCATTCCTGC